ATATGCTAACCATGTTGGATAGATATGCTAACCATGTTGGGTAGATATGCTAACCATGTTGGGTAGATATCCTGGGTAGATATGCTAGCCATGTTGGGTAGATATGCTAACCATGTTGGGTAGATATGCTAACCATGTTGGGTAGATATGCTAACCATGTTGGGTAGATATCCTTTGTAGATATGCTAACCATGTTGGGTAGATATGCTAACCATGTTGGGTAGATATGCTATCAATGTTGCGTAGATATGCTAACCATGTTGGGTAGATATCCTGGGTAGATATGCTAACCATGTTGGGTAGATATGCTAACCATGTTGGGTAGGTATGCTAACCATGTTGGGTAGATATGCTAACCATTTTGGGTAGATATGCTAACCATGTTGGGTAGATATGCTAACCATGTTGGGTAGAGATATGCTAACCATGTTGGGTAGATATGCTAACCATGTTGGGTAGATATGCTAACCATGTTGGGTAGATATGCTAACCATGTTGGGTAGATATGCTAACCATGTTGGGTAGATATGCTAACAATGTAGGGTAGATATGCTAACCATGTTGGGTAGATATGCTAACCATGTTGGGTAGATATGCAAACCATGTTGGGTAGATATGCAACCATTTTGGGGGTGATAGCAACCATTTTGGGTAGATATGCTAACCATGTTGGGTAGATTGCAAACCCATGTTGGGTAGATACCTGGGTAATTGTAACCATTTTGGGTAGATTGCTAACCATGTTGGGTGATATGCAAACCCGGGTTGGGTAGATATGCAACCATGTTGGGTAGATATGTAACCATTTTGGGTAATATGCAAACCTTTTTTTGGGTTTAATATCCTGGGTAGTAGAAAACCATGTTGGGTAGATATGCAAACCATGTTGGGTAGATAGCTAACCATGTTGGGTAGATATGTAACCATTTTGGGTAGTATGCTCCCCGTTGGTTTTAATATGCAACCCCTTTTGGGAAAGATCCTGGGTAAAAAATGCTAGCCAATTTTGGGGTAGATTTGCAAACCATTTTGGGTGATAGAAACCCATGTTGGGTAGTATGCAAACCCATGTTGGGTAGATAGCAAAACCAGTTGGGTAGATAGCAAACCATTTTGGGTAATATCCTGGGTAGATATCAAACCATTTTGGGTAGTATGCTAACCATTTTGGGGTAATATGCTAAACCATTTTGGGTAAAAATTGTCCCCCTTTTGGGTAGAATGCTAACCATTTTGGGGTAGTATCAAACCAGGGGGGGTAGTATGCTAACATGTTGGGTAGTTTTGCTACCATGTTGGGAAATATGCTAACCGTTGGGGTTAAAATGAAATTCCAGTTGGGAAATTATCGGGTAGATAGAAACCATGTTGGGTAAAATGCTAACCTGTTGGGTAATACTAGCATGGGGGTGATTGCAACCCATTTTGGGTAGATAGCAAACCATTTTTTGGGTAGTAGCAAACCCATGTTGGGTGATTGCAACCATGTTGGGTAGATATGCAACCCTGTTGGGTAATAGCAACCATGTTGGGTAGATATGCAAAACCATTTTGGGGTGATATCCGGGTAGATTGCTAACCCAGTTGGGGTAGTTATGCTAACCAGGGGGGTAGAATGCAAACCCATGTTGGGTAATATGCTAACCATTTTGGGAAAAGATATGCTAACCATTTTGGGTGAATGCAAACCATGTTGGGTAATTCCTGGGTAGTTTTGAGCCATTTTTGGGTAATAGCTAACCTGTTGGGTAGATATCTAACCATGTTGGGTAGATATCTAACCAGGGGGTGATATCCTTTGTAGATATGCAAACCATTTTGGGGTAGATATGCTAACCATTTTGGGGGTAGATATGCTTTTAAATGTTGCGTAGATTGTAACCATGTTGGGTAATATCCTGGGTAGTATGCTAACCATGTTGGGTAATATCTAACCTGTTGGGTAGGTTGCTAACCCATGTTGGGTAGATAGCTAACCATTTTTGGGTAGATATGCTAACCATGTTGGGTAGTTTCAACCATTTTGGGGGTAATATGCTAACCATGTTGGGGTAGATATGCAAAACCATTTTTGGGTAGTAGGAACCTTTTTGGGTAGATTGCAAACCATTTGGGTAGAATAAAAACCCTTTTGGGGTTGATATGCTAAAAATGTGGGTAGTATGCAAACCCATTTTGGGTAAAATTTGCTAACCATGTTGGGTAGATATCTAACCATATTGGTGTATGCAACCCATGTTGGGTAGATATGCAACGAGGGTTGGGTAATATGCAAACCATTTTGGGAGATATGCTCCCATTTTGGGGTGTATCCTGGTAGATATCTAACCTGTTGGGTAGATTGCTACCATGTTGGGTGATATCAAACCCATTTTGGGGTGATATGCAACCCATGGGGGGTAGATATGCTAACCAGTTGGGGTAGTAGAAATCAGTTGGGTAGATATGCAAACCCATTTTGGATAGACTAACCATTTTGGGAAATATGAACCATTTGGGATAGAATTGCAAACCCTGTTGGGTAGTTGCAACCCATTTTGGGTAGATTGCTAACCTTTGGGTAGATATCAACCCATTTTGGGTAGATACAACCATTTTGGGATATGCAACCATGTTGGGTAAAATGCTAACCATTTTGGGGGTAATATGAAAAACCATGTTGGGTAATATGAAAACCTTTTTGGGTAGATATCCGGGTAGATAGCTAACCTTTTTGGGTAGAAGCAACCATGTTGGGTGAATGCTAACCATGTTGGGTTAAATTTTGAAACCCTTTTTGGGTAGATTGCAACCCATGTTGGGTAGATATGCAAACCATGTTGGTAGAATCCTGGGAAATTTGCAAACCATTTTGGGTAATTTTCTACCATGTTGGGTAGATATGCTAACCATGTTGGGTAGATATGCTAACCTTTTGGGTAGATATGCTAACCATGTTGGGTAATATGCTAACCCTGTTGGGAGATACCCGGGTGATATGCTACCCATTGGGTAAATTCAAACCCATGTTGGGTGTTGCTAACCGTTGGGTAGATATGCAAACCATTTTGGGAAATATGTACCATTTTTGGGTAGTATGAAACCCCATGTTGGGTAGATATGATAACCCTGTTGGGTAGATTCCGGGTAAAATTGCTGCCATTTTGGGTAGATAGCAAACCCATGTTGGGTAGTATGCTAACCATTTTGGGTATAGCTGCCATATTGGAATATGTACCCAATTGGGTAGAATGCTAACCATGTTGGGTAGTATGCTAACCATGTTGGGTAGATATCTAACCATGTTGGGTAGATATGCTATCCTGTTGGGTAGATATGTAACCATGTTGGGAAATAGCAAACCAGTGGGTAGTAGCAACCCATGGGGGGTGATTTCAAACCCTGTTGGTTAGTTTTAACCATTTGGGTTTTATGCAAACCTTTTGGGGTAGATATGTAACCATGTTGGGTAGATGTTAGCCAGATGGGTTCGAAAATTAACCTTTTGGTTAGAAGTTAGCCTGGATTTTATCTGGAGAGAGTTCCGGGGTCAACCCCCCCGCGTCGGTCGAACCAGGCCCCTTTTTTGGTGGTAGGGTTTGCTAACCAGGCTGTTAGGGTGGCCGCCGCAAGTGACGTAAAACCCACGCCGGGTTTGGGGTCGGGTACTGACTTTAGGTCCCCTAGCCAGTCGTTTTGATGGGGAAAAAGGTGGCTTTTTTGGGGTTTGATATTCCGATATTCTTTTTTTTCCTTTAAACTTCCCCCCTTTTCTCTCTTCTCTCTCTCTCTTTTCTCCTCTCCTCTCTCTCTCTCTCTCTCTCTCTCTCTCTCTCTTCTTTTCTCATGATATCCTTCCTTAAGTCCCCCTTTCCCCACTCATCCCTCTTCCACCTAAACTCCCCCCCTTTCCCCTCCCTCCTCCAACCCACGTTGGGCCTGATACAGTTTTATTTTGTGAAGCAAATTGATATTCCCTGCCGAGGGTCTATTAATTTTTCTGACTTCCTACTCCAGCGCTCCCGAGGGCTTTTGGGTGGTCAGATGCTTTTGTGTGACTGATGTGGCTTTTGTTCTGGCTAAGTGCTTTTGGGGGGTTTGGGGTGCTTTTGTGGGGCTGAATTGGCTTGTGAGGGTTGAGGTATTTTGTAGTGACAAATGTGGTTTTTTGTGCGGGTTGTTGTTGCTTTTGTAGAGGCTGAGTGGCTTTTGTGGTTGCTAAATGACTTGTGTGGTGGCTGAGGTGGCTTTTGAAGCGGCTTATCTGGTTGCGTAATGAATCTTCTGAGGGCTTAGGTGGCTTAGTTGTGTGAGAGGCTTTTGTGGTTGAGCGCCGTCCAATTAATATAATAATAAACGTATATATACTAAGGTATTTACTTTAATTAGCTGGATTTGCGTATTGAGGGTCAGGATGACATCAACTTTACTTTGTAAGTTGACTGAGGCTGCGAAAATAATCATGATGTGTGAGCACGTCTGGAAAAACAGCTAGGAAGCAAGGGGTGGTGGAGGCATTATCTTCTGTGAATTACCTTGCCTTAGTGAGAAACGGTCTGTGTGTAAAATATATCACAAGGCTTAAAATGGGCTCGTTGTTCTGAATAATACATAGCAGGTTTTCCTAGTAATGGATGGGTAAGTATGACGTGGGGTTGAATCTTCAGCCACAGCGAGGTACAGAATATGCTTTTGCAAGAGGAATTTTCTGTTATTCCGCTTTTTGAAAAGACACATAGGAACAGACCTGGGAAGACTTCAAATAGATCTGGACAAGATGTAGGATTGGTCCTAGAAGTGGCTACCGGAATTTAACCCCAGCAAAGGCAAGCAGGAGATGGACAAAGACATAGAGAAACAGAGTACAGTTCACAGGCATGGGGGACACACCTTCCTGAAAGAGAAGGACTTCGGGGTGAGCATAGTTCTCAGTATATCAACCCAGTAACCGCTGTAACTAACACGAGACTGACTTATTATGGGTAGCTTTAGGGAACACCGACAAGAAAGTATTCACGACCATGTACACGGTTTATGTCACGCCCATCTTGGAGTATCCAGAGCCAGTATTGAACCCGTATCTGCTTAACCACATAAAGAAACTGGAAAAAAGTGCAAAGGTTTGCAGTGAAACTAGTGCCAGAGCTGATGGGTATGACCTATTAGGAGAAGCTAGAGGAGCTAAACCTGACGACACTACAGAGCAGAAGGACTGGAAATGACATTACGCATTACGACGTATAAAATACTCAGAGGAATTGATAGGATGGACAGGAAATATGTTTGAGAGGCGGGTCTCAGGTACACGAGGTCACAGCTGGACGTTAAAAGCACAGACGAGTCACATGGATGTTAGTAATTCTTTACTCTTAGAGTGGTCAGGAACTGAAACGACCTAGAGAGGGAAGTGGTAGAGACAGAATCCATACATAGCTTTAAGAATAAGTATAACAGGACTTTCCCAGCCGGGAGTTAAAAAAGTAGCTGCTAGAAGAGGGGCCAGGCCAGGAGCTGAGAATCGACCCCCGTGACCACAATTAGATGAGTACGCACACTTCAAAGGAGATGACGGAATATATGACAAACTATCTCACTAACATTAGAGAAAGTTGAGAGAGAGAGACAGAGAGAGAGAAAGAGGATGTAGATAGTGTTTTTAATTTAGCTTAAAAACTTTGGGATATTTTACACACGCACACTACGCACTCACTACACACACACACACAACACACACACACACACACACACACACACACACACACACACACACACACACACACACACACACACACATACACATATACACATATACACACATATACACACATATACACACAATATACAAAGACACATATACACACATATACAAAGACACATATACACACACATATACATGTATGTATATGCACAATATACACACATTTTACACACATATATGTACACACACACACACACACACACACACACGCTTATACAAAGGCCCAGTGCAATGCATGTGCCTAGACAAAATGGGAACTAACACACACCACAAACACACACACAC